AATATGTTTGTTTCTTTTAAGTCGAGAAAAATAACTTTGAAATTTGAACTAGCTTAAATAGCCAATTTTTCAACCGCCGGAAGCAACGTACGGTTGCCGAGTTGGTAAAATTTATGTTTTACACGCTTGGGGTACGAGGTTCCAACCCGCATATGGCAATGAATTTTTTGCATTTTTTCTTAATTCTTTTTAAGTTAGTATAAATTTTAACTCGTTTGATTTTTATCACATTTAGATTCAATAACTTCAATAAAGATCAAGGATCCCATCACTTTAGTCGCCCCTTGCAAGAAGAAATTTCTTATTCGTATTAAAATTATTTTACTATATTTTAAGTTTTCGCTTCGATGCAAAGCCGAGAAGATATTTTTTTGTGACTATCATTTATTTTCTCTGCTCTAACTTGACCTACTTTTTTCAACAATACGTCAAATTACTACAATTCGTATCTAGTTGAAGATATTACTCTCAAAAATTGAAAAAAAAATTCTAATTTATCAATTAAACAGTTAGTTATTACATCGTCTCCATAAAGACAATTAAAATCATTAATTTCTAATGTTTTCAAAATATTTATTAACGAATGAAGTTTGATATGATAGGTTTCAACTACAAAATTAAATCATTTTACTTTGTAATTTAATAATTTTTTTACTCTATTTGTGTGTGCTACTACTAGACTATAATATTACAATTTTTTTTTGTAACATGTTGCTATATAAATCATTTCTAAAAAAAATGATTGTTTTTTCTCCTGAATTAACAATTGATTTTTACAAATATAATCAAATTTTATAATACACTCAATTGAGTAAATCTTTTTAACAACTTTGTTTTGATTGGTACATTTAGTTAAAGTAAATCATTAAAATTAATTAAGTTCTCAATATTTCAATTATAGAATCTTTTCAACAAACAACAAAAGTTCCTAGGAAATTATTACTATTACTTCTATTTAAGTTATCTATTACCATAAAAATGCAAAAAAATATTGAGCTTTTCTGATAAATTTACAATAAATAGTAATTATAAAACTTTCTGACTGCATATTGATCTTAACGATACAATTTTTTTAATTGTCATAAAATTTTCTATTTAATTATGTCAATGTCAAACTTACCAATTGAGCTAAAAGTTATGGTAAAAAAAATTTTTTTTTTTATTATAAACATTTACAACAATCAACTTTAAACGATTAACAAAATAGGTTAAATATGTCATTTTCCTTATTTAATTTTACTATGATGTGTTTTTTTAACTTATTAATAATCAAAATCAATATTAATTTAAAACAATTTTTTTTGTTCTTAATTATTTTTTTTTATATGTAAAAACTATTTTTTAATAATATTAAAACTTAGAAGTTATAGAAAAAGTCTAATTGCACATTTTAAAACATCGCGAAAAGTTGATTTAGAATAGTATATTTTTGTTTCTGATGGAAGTTCCTTGTAGTCCAGTGTATAAAACTTATAACTTTGTTAATTGTTATAACTTTATCAAAAATGACCAAATCAGTATATTTTTTTTTATTTAGATGCATGTCTTTATCTATCATTTGTTTTTTTCTATAAATCTAACCATTTAACTGCCCACAAGAGGGATTCAAAATATTAACTTTTTTTTTTTTAGTTAAAGTAAATCATTAGAATTAATTCAGTTCTGGATATTTCAATAGTAGAATCTTTTTAAATATCAAAAATTACTTAGAAATGATTACTATGATTTCTATTTAAGTGTTCTATTACGATAAAAATGCAAAAAATAATGAGTTTTTCTGATAAATTTACAATAAATAGTAAATATAAAACTTTATGACTGCATATTAATCTTAAAAATAACATTGTTATAATTCTCATCAAATTTTCTATTGAATGATTTATTCTAGTCAACGAAGGAGTAATTTTGGCGAATAACAGAAAAAATTCCCAACCAAATTTTTTTTTTTTAAAGTACGAAATTGGTGGATTATTCCAAAAGCAACATCAACTCTTATTTCTTTAATTATATCATGATTAGTAGTTCTTTGATTTTAAAATATAATATATGAATATATACTAATTATAATTATTAAATTTAGTATGAAATTGATATTTAATATTGTAATTTAAACGGAGAAATTATAAAAATAATAAAGAAGTTATATTTTGCTTTACTTTTACGTGTATAAAAATTTAAAGGGCTTGATACAATAATTTTCAATAAAAACTGTTTGTTA